ACACTAGGTCTACCTGTGGCTCTGCCCACCACGGGTATCGAAACCCGGATTCTAGCGTTGTAAGTCCGCAGACATACCGCTGTGGGGGCTATGAGATGGTAATAAATCTATAAATCATATACATTTCTCGGTATTTATTTTATTTCGATGTATGTTAGGTACATGATATTAAATATCAGAGAAAAATATATGTTTTGTGTTTCTAAACGTTCAAAACAACGTGGAACGTTGACAAATATAGGAATATTATTTGTTTTACTGATATTATTTTTTTGGATCTGTTCGCGTTGCTAAACATTGTTCGAAAAATAAATAAAATAACATAAATATTTCGTTTTGTTGTGTGTGGTTTTATTAAGAATTATGTGTGGAATAAAGAAAGTTGGGTTAATGAATATTGTTAAGCCAAGTTTCACAATGCAAGAAGATAACAAGTTAGGAAAACTGTTAAATAGAGTCACGCAGAAAGCGTTATATATATAATAATAATTGATATATTGTGATTAATAAAAATATAGTTTCGACCGTGAGATTGTGTGGTACATTTTCAGCTCAATTGACGAGCGCTTATATTAGGAGAAAGGCCTCGTAGGCAGCAACTTGCAGCATAACGTGTAAGGCCAATATATTATGTTCTTCTTATTGCAAATCCGTAATATAAGTTCTGTAAATAAAGATTTATAAAAAAATTAATATTAAATTAATTGTGATTCAATGTTACACAAATTTTCTATTTAGAGATCACGATTCTCTAGCATATGGCGTTGTATAACATAATATTTGATGTTTAATATGAGTGATATATATATATATCTGATGTGCTTTGCTTACGTAGGCAGTGTCACGCGGTGCACAATGTAGACGGTCGAATTTTACTTTAGTTTTTTTTTTTTTTTTACTTGCAGAAATTCTTACTATGGGGTAAGCAAAGAAAGACTTATAGAACAAAAATTACAATGTCAAACAAACTACTGGTCAAAAGATGATTCTTTTAATAATGCGATTTTCAATACCAGTAAGCTTACTTTATCACGGTATAGAGGTCCTTAGGAGTTATTGAAAGTATCAGTGCTATTTAGTCACATCTATAGTGTTAACTATTGGTATTTTGCTATTTCAATGCCTTTTTGAAGAAAAAAAAAAATTTATTGTCAATTACAACTTTGAGGTCTCATGTTTAGTAAAAAAAAGGCGGCAATTCAATCATCCTGTGCAGTGCACTGATTTTGTTTTTAAGTTCCATTTCTCTGTGCTAATTTATTATAATTTTTTTATTGTGGAGTTTCTTTATATTGAACTTATGGAATGTTCCACTTCACCGAACCATCTTTGTTTAATGAATTTTATTTACAAATGAATAGATGTGGCATTTTATGATGAAGAATAGTCCATAATCTAATGTATACGTATATTATCATCCTTAAAACAACTAGCTATAATGATGCCTTTCACACAAATTTTGTTTAATGAGATATTTTGTTTTTAACAATAACTTGACGCATAAAGTTATTTAAAACTTTATTTGGAGCTCTAGCACACCAACACCAATTCTTAATTGTCTCTTTTTTGAACACTGAGTTTTTTTCGTGGCCCGTGCATGTCGGTCTGTAGAGGTTCCATATAGTGTACTGGACTTTAGATCTGCCTGACGTTTTCATGGCACACACATCATTTCAGAACTAATTTGTTATTCATGGTTGCCATTCCATCAAAATGAAGCGTTTTCATAACACAGGATGGTTAATAAATACATTTTAAAGGTTATAACTAGAACATAAATGAATTAACGAACAAATCAATGTTCCGTATTTAATTACAATATATCTCTTCTTTTTTTTTACTTTATAGCAATGACAGATACAGTAAAAACCTGATTCCCTGTGGAGCATTCTTTCTGTAATGTTTGGTAGACAGGAGAATTTTAAGATGTCCCGGAACATTGGATATGATATTTCTCGAACCCTATTTTACCTTTTTCTGAAAGCATATAAATATTACAAAAGAAGCATGTAGCTAAATGAGATGTTAAATACCACAACACTAGAAAATATAAAAATAGTTATGATATATGTTATAACTTGAAAATAAGACGACATAGTTGAAGAATAAGGAGTGAAGGCAGAGTCTTAAGTACCATATCATACTAAATAGAGCAAGTTATCTTGCTTAATTCGGATGATAAGTTCAAATGGTAAGTTTCTATTTGTCTTCCAGTGTGTATAATTCTGCATAAAGTATTGAACAACAGGCCTAGTGCTCGGACTGCGCCCTCCTTCCGGCTGTGCCCTGGACAAGTGCCCCTTTCGCCCTACCCTAGCGACGGCTCTGATTCTACGGTTGTTTGTAAATACTATGATTAATTTTAACTCTTTAACGCCCGTTTAATATAACTTTGTTTTGCACCCAAATGTTCAGATTTAAACTTCACAATTAAATGTATACATATATACACCTAGTTTTAACCCTATGTTCAAGTAACAGTATCATTAATGAACAATAGTTTCTCAATGACATTGATATATGACAAATAGTAAGCTCAACGGTTCAATAAATATGGTAGAAACTGTTGGTTTACTATTGATAACATCATGCAGCATATTTGAAAGTCAAACACCTAATATTAAGACTTCTTTTATTCATTGGATTAAAAATTATCTTTAATGTAAAAAAGTAGAAAATTTGAAAAATGAGACTAATTTTAAATGACAATATATTTTTTTCAACTACAGGGGTAGTGATTATTTACGACCATCTCGTATTTAATCCTAAAACATAATATAAGAAAACATGTTTCAATAGAAGTATTTCCAGTATGGCTTCTAAAGAAGATTGAAAATGGAACACTGATTTTAACCTTGCTCATGTGACTGCTTCTCCACTGTCGTTTAGTGATATTTTATTCGATTCTGTAAGTTTATGAAACACTTATTGTGTCTTTATTACACGAACGTGCATTTAGATGTATAAAATTAAAGACCCATGGTTTTCATGAAGTAAATAGATTTTACTTGTCTTAAAAAAAAAGAGAAAAAAATTGAAAAACAAATTCAGGTTACATCGCAATTTTTCAACCACGTGTGAATCAGGTTGAAAAATATAAAACATAAAGTCAGTAGGTTCAAAAAGGTAGAAACGAAAACTATCTAATCTGACCAGAAACAGTTTCTTATCTCTAGTGTAAATGACATTTGTCTACTACTGTTACTATATTCAATAAAATGTTGTAGTATGTTTATAGCTAAGAAACCACCGTCTTTATGTAGCGTAGATAGTAGACGATGTTTTCTGTTCTTTTTTTTTCTCTTTGGTTTCATTTTAGTCCAAATTTTGGAAATAAGCATCAAAAAGGCGAGACAACGGAGATGAAGAACTACCAGATGGTTCTTGGCCAGGTTCTGGCAGTACCTTGACACATTCTTCGCTCTCGGGACTGTAACCGGTACATACAATGTCAGGAAGACGTGACACAGCAGTTCTTAAGAGTTCTTGCAAGAAAGTGACAGAGTCTGCTCCACATTTGTCTTCAACTGTTTTCTCAACACACTCCATGTATCTCTGGTATGAGCTATAATTTCATATAGAAATATTTGTTTTAGTGTAACAAGGTAGCATCTTATAAACCGATCAAAAATTTGCTTTTGGCTCAATCTTTAAAATAAAGCCTTAATGAACGTTCTTAATTTTGCTTAAATTAAGTGTATATAACAATGTTAATTGTTTTGTAAATTTTTATGATATTATGTTCAATTCAAATAAAACAAAATTATTGTAGCATTTTTATTTTCTCTTTGTACATGTGTGTATTGTTGGTTTATTAAGTGCAAAACTACGCAATGGCCTTTCTGAGCTGTGCTCATCGTAGGGATCGATCCTTGAATTTTAGCGTGGAAACCCTCAAGCTTATCACTGAGCCACTGGTGCATACGTGTATTACCAATACACGTCAATGAACTAAATTAATTTAAAAAAAGATGGAATATGATATCTAAAAACTTAATAGGATAATACTAATTGTATATACACATATATAATATTGTGCAAAAGTAAAATAGAGAAATGATGAGATGCATAGTCGGAATTGCATCAAATAGGCTCTCTTTTGGTTTCTTTTTGGTAGCATGTAATGTTTCCCATTATTACTTTAATACTAAACTTAAAACGTATTAATGAGTCATTAGCTATCCCTATATGATTCAATGTATGGATCACTAACCATTTGTTATGCTTGAGTACAAGAGTCATTTTTGTTCCAGTACATACAAAATGTTAAAAAAGAAGACTCCTAGTTTGCGTATTTTGGTGCGACTTGGCATTCTCTTAGTGTCCGTATCGAATTAACTCTTGATGTGATACAACTTGTTATGGTGACTCTTGTATTTCCAATACAACAACAAAATGGTCTGTTGTAATCCATACAGTTCTAAACTACATTTCGATTTGACATTGCGATGTATCCCTGCAATATATATATACATATATATATATAGTTGCTATTGATATGATAATAAAACATGATATGATAGTATCTAAAGTGGTATTTTTGGTGAGATAGCATAACAAATTATTATTTAAATAACAAAATATCTTTCAGATTACAACTTACCAACAGGCTGTTGGAACACGTTTATCAAACTCAGATGTTCCAATCACCTCCAAGCCATTTCTCAGATCTGTAAGGCAATGTCTTGTTTCTTTGTTAGCTTCGCTGAGGCAAGCAGAATTCTCCAAGTATCCTAAGGACAACAACAAAGTGTTATATTAGCAGAGAAATAATAATTTGGAGGTTAATAATAGCTTTTAGCGAATAGTTGACATTGGTCAAGTCTCACTGATTTCTAGAAATCCAGGACAATTGTGCATACATTTAGTGCCAAAAGTAAGAGCCTACACAAGTGAAATAATATTAAATATTATTTCGTTTAGAAAGAATCGATAATTCTTTTAAAATTTCTACTTATAAATGAACAAATGTCTTTTCTTTTTGTCTTCAAAATGACATATTATGTTGATCATAATAGTAGCGATTTTATCTCTAGTTACAATTTGCTTCTTTCGATCATTAACTTCTTATATCATTATATTAAAAACAAAATACATGTAGTAATATTGATGCTAATTAGAATAAAACTCACTCTTCCTGACGTCTGTGCCTGAAGTACAGTAATCCTCTAATAGCCTTTCAGAGCCTTCACTGAAGAATCCCATTAGTTCCCGTTGGACAGCAGTCATGCAATTTTGAGTGTAATTCTGGATACAGTGCTGTACGTCGCGAATTGTGCTGCAAGACAAAATAAAAATAATTGGATGATCATTTTTATATTTAGCTAATAATTTCGCGTCCTTAAAAGTAGGAGTTATATGGCTGTATATATATATTGTATATCTTTAGTTAAGATGGAAACTTTAAATACATATTCATATATTAAGAAAGAGCAAACTGTGAATTAGTTGTACCTGAAGAGGGGCAGTTACTTTATGGTCCCCTATCGTTAAAAGAGGGAAGTTCAAATTATGAATATTTTATGTATATTACTTTTCGGAAAGACCTTTTTGTTTCAATTAAGTTCATATATGTTAATGAAAGAACAGATGCACATGAATTTGCGAATACTTCTATTTGTTTCACATTTACAAACAACACTTTTCCAGTAATTAATGTAATGTGTATAACTAAACAAAAACACGTAGAAATATTTCTGTCTATCTATTAAGTGCAGAAATACCAAATGTAGCTTATCGTGATGGATGTTCAAGCATGAATTAAAATCAGTTGTTCTTTGTTGTTTTATTTTTGACTTTTGCATTATACATTTACTTTTAATTTGTATGTTTTTCATTTTCTACGTAAAATAGGGGCAAGTATAAGCACCTTCTGTTGCTATTTATACGATAAGATGTTATAATATAAATGTTTGTTTCATATAAATCTTGTTACTAGTGTTATGTTTAAATGGTACATGGTAACGTTTTAGTTCTACATATGTACGACCGGACGTTACTTAGTTGTTTTCGTGCAGGATTGGTGATTGAAGGGTCAAAGGTTTGAGACGTGAAGCCGCTGTTTGTGATCGCACTTTCAGTTATGGACGCATTATAAAAGCGTCAGTCAATTTTGTTATTCAGTTTCAAGTCCCTGTGGCGGTGGGTGCTTCTGCATGGCTGCCTTCTCTCGTGTCAGTAGCTTCAAACTATGTCTATACCTGAACCTATAGGGGTCTTTTATCTGTGCATTTAGCTGTTCAGGTTGATAATTCCAATAATCCAATAAATCAAATGTATCCAAAGTATCAAAAATATATCGGAAATCAACTCGTAATGATTAACAAAAAAAAAAAAAATTTACAGCAAAGGTTCATGATATTCAACTTAGATATTACGTTGAAATTCGAACGAAACTGACCCTATTGAAACGTAATTAATCATTTTCCAGATTGCTATGTAGATAACAAAAGGCCTATGGGGCATTGTTCAAAGAAATAGAAATATTTTATATAAAGAAAGCATTAGATAGCAATGTAATAAGTTTCTCAGGTTTTTGTGTTTCATTAAATGGTAGGCAGCTCTAATTTCAAACTTATAGACGAGAGAGAAAAGGCAGCTAGTCAACAGTACCCACCACCAAATTTAACTGTCTCTTCTATACCAAACTCCCAGATCCAAACTGCGGAGTGTGATTTTGCGATAATGAGACGCAAATCAAGGACTCTCGTATTCACTGTCTGGAACTCTAATCACTAAGCCACACTCCATCCATTTTAATGGGTAATATTTTTTATTTATTTATGAAAAGGTTTCATAATTTGCTGAAGTCTAATTCAATTTGAAATGAATAATTTGTAGGTTTGTTGTTATTGAGTTTCAAAATCGTCTATCTTGATTGCATTTCAGCGCGATATTTATATGTCCGTCAAAAAGAAAATAAATTAATCTTCGAAAGGTTTTGTTTGTTTGTTTGTAATTAAGCAGAAAGCTTCACAATGGGCTGTCTGTACGCTGCCCACCACGGGTATCGAAACCCGGATTCTAGCGTTGTAAGTCCGCAGACATACCGCCGTGTCACTGGGGGGCGCTTCGAAAGGTAGTAAATTATTTTTATCTTTCCTAGTCATTAGTTTAATATTACATAAAATATTTAAGAAACATATCTATATATTTTATATATAAAGTAATTTGAAATAAATTATACAAAAGTAAAGAAACAAACACAGCTTACTTAGTTAAATACTGCTAAGTATAAATCTTGATTAGGCATCTCAACTAATCTTTTGAAAAACTCAACCCTGATTTAGTAGTGGGTGGACATCGTGTACAGAATTTTATTACCACAGGGTTAAGAGATTAATAAGTATCACTGGGGCTTAGAACATGTTGTGATAACAACTGTGTTATCACAAGTGTCGACAAGAATAGAATTTTGTAAAAACATAAAGTATCGCAATTCTACTTACGCGCACTGAGTGTCCAGTTCTGCCTCAGTTTGAGCAATATTGTCTTCTTGGTTGACGAGTAAGCTGGCAGCGCACACATCTAGCTCTCTCATGTGACAGCTTTGGGAGTATACCTGGTATGTTGCTAAAACAGAAATGAAATAAGAGCAGGTTCTTAGAAGATGCCACGAGTTTTTGTTTTATTTTCACCTGTCAGATACAATAGAAACACAGGAAAGGTAAACGTATCAGTATTATTGTGTAACTACAACCTGTAATCTTCCTTCAATAATCTTCCTTCATGATTAAGGTGGATTGTTAATAACTCACTATTATATAATATAGTAGATGGAGTCATGCACATATTAGACATGTGTGTCTGCCGCATGAATGAATAGACAACAGGATAACGTTGAAAATACTTTCATAGTTGTTCGTTATGGTCACCATAACAATGATGTAGTTAATTTTTACTATCACGTATATATATATATATAAGAGAAGTAACAATCATTTGATCTAATCTGGACACATCTTAAGAGCATGAAGCTGTTCTCAAGAACAAAGTAAGAAGTTTTCTGCTGAAGACTCATAAGCGTCTTAGACATCAAATAGTAATTTAACTCAATATTTTTATTAGTTGTTTTATTGAGTGTTGTAACATGCAAAAAGCATAAAATTTCTCAATATGAAGAAAAGCGTAACCTGATAGTTAATAAGGTTTTTTTCAATACAAAGAGGGAAATGCTGAATAAATCTGACGTCATGTTGAGGATAGTCATATTCATATATATATTATGGTTAAAATAAGGTTACTTCAGTAGGTTTCACAATAACATAAAAGGGTTTTATCTAAGTAGGTCAGAGGCCTGGCATGGCCAGGTGGTCATGGCGCTCGACTCGCAATCTGCGGATCGCGGATTCGAATCCCCATCACACCAAACGTGCTTGCCCTTTCAGCCGTGGGGGCGTTATAAAGTTACGGCCAATCCCACTATTCGTTGGTAAAAGAGTAGCCCAAGAGTTGGCGGTGGGTGGTGATGACTGCCTTCCCTATAGTCTTACACTGCTAAATTAGGGACGGTTAGCGCAGATATCCCTCGTGTAGCTTTGCGCGAAATCCATAAAAAACAAACTCAGTAGGTCGGACGAACTAGACATTTTCAAAGTTCACTTTTCCTTGAAATAAACAAGAATGTTTAAGGAAAGTGAGTACTAAAATACGAAGAAAAGATAAACGGCTACATTTGCTGACTGACTTGACTAGTTTGGGTGCTACCAAAATACACACACACATTCTGCTCACTTTTTTTCATTCAGCATGTTTACGAATTATTTGGATCATATAGTGCGTAACCTGATAGTTAATAAGGTTTTTTCAATACAAAGAGAAAGGGATCTAAATTTTACATCATATTGACGAATTTATTATGCGTATACTATAGATTAAGAAATCCATATAAAAATAGTTTAGATCAGTAGAGCTCACAAAAACAAAGTAAGTTAAATTTAAGTAGGTCAGGAAGATAAGAAGTTTCCAACTTCATTTGACCTTGAATCAAACAAGACTGGAAAGTGAGTGTTAAAATTCCAAGAACATAAAACAAAAAAAGTGTGCTAACAGGCTTGACTGCTTTTCCACGCTTGGATACCATCAACACACACACACACACACACACACACACACACATATTGGACAGCTAAAAAGCCACAAGTGAGCACCACTTCTTTAAATTGCTAATACTTTTTAATACCATTGTTTCATTCAATATTTGAGAAATAAGTAATCTTAAAACATTATGTATGTGTTATTAAATTAGAAACTTCGGTTCACGGTATAAAGAAAAGACAATTAATGCCTGTCAATAATTGTTTGATTAATTTCAAATTAATAATAACTACAGAAACATTTCTTCACATGTAATTAATTATTCTGTCAAAGAAGTTGAAACCATTTTCAGACAAGTGCCCTTTTCTTTTAGTTCACTGTACCCTCCAGTGACTCATCGGTAAACTTAAGGGCTTATAAAACTAAAAATTGAGGTTAGATACCCGAGATAGGAGCAACTTGAATAACTAATTGTTTAGTTTTGCGCTTAAACACAAAAAACTTAGTCTAATGTAATCCTTACAATGTGAGTATTATGGACCCCAAGCTTTCGTACATAGAAGAAAACCTTTTTTGAACACTTGTTCTGTGAATTTTTCTAAAATTACTTGAATCACTTTTATGCCTTTTTTCACACCAAGTCAAATTATTTGTTGTATATGACATATTTAGTCCAGTTTTAAGTTATTAGAATAAGTATAGAATTGGAATATTTTCAATGCTTTAAACCATCATGTATTCAACAATGAGGGTTTAATAGCATCTCTATCACAAACATTGTCGCTTTTCTAACAACCCTTTTTTTTATACAAACTAAAATGCTTAAATGAAAAACTTACCAACTGTAAGCAAGAAGCCCAAAACATATAAAATCTTCGCCATGGTGGTCTTTTTACGTATTTCTAAAAACGGTCTAATCTCTAAGCGTTCTCCTTAAGGATGCTGATGCTAATGTAGCTTCTCTAAAGACAGAATGTGTCTTATATATCCATTGAAGGGCACACTTATTCACTTATGACGTCACGAGAAAGGAAAATTTGCAAACGGTGAAGGAAAACAAGCTCTTAACGAATCAGGTTTTTCAGGTAAAGATGATGTCACTTTTGGCTGCATAATATTATGGAGTATTTTATACTCTTATTGGCTGAGAGGTGGATTAGTAATTTACTTCACTCACTTGCTTTGTTTCTTCAGTAAGGGGGGGGGGAGGATCTTTTCCTACTTTGGTATAGAAGCATATTTCATAACTAGATTTCTCCAGTTAGGCCGCGTTGCTATTTGTCACCTCAGATTTCGTGAAAAATGCTAACGTTTATATTTGTGGTATAACAATCTTTCTAAAACTTTCATTTTCACATAGTTAAGTTATAATACGTCAAATACATTTTAGCAAACATGAAACTACGTGAGCTTTAATGTTTCAAGTATAGTGAGTTTTTTACACTAGACATAAACTATTATAGAGTTGCATGCCAAACAAAAGTTATCCCAGTCGCAGTAGGGTTCTTTTTTCTTTTCTTTTTAGTGCATGAGTGTCTAATGGGCTGTTTATTCTGTGGCTACAGCAGAGATCAAATCCAGAATGTTGGAGTAATAATCTCCTCAATCTCCTCGTTGAGTTATCGGGGGGGGGGGTCGCTTAAAGAATCTTAAAAGAGAAAATTTTAAATCTGAAGCTGAAGTTATCTTCACAATAACAATTTTATAAAAACAAATGTATAAATAATGTTAAGTGCTATACCAGTTGCAGCCAAATGGACTATTTTCAACTACCACCAATCTTAAATGTACAGTACTCTCGAATAACAGATTAGTTGTTTATTACCTTTTCATTAAATGAATAAAAGTTGACTCAAAGTTTGTGTTAAGTAGTCCCAGTTTGATTATCCTTAAATAACATACAACAAACATGTTTTAAAAATGTGTTGATTACTCAAAGCGCCTATGCTGCGATTCAAGCTGACTACTTTCAGTCAACGCAAACAATTACATACTTCACACCACTTACAAAAAACATACTTTTGGTTGTCCTTGAGCTAAAAATTTCCTCGTTCTAAAGCTCCTTATCCTGGTTATACGTTTTAGCAGCAACTAACGACAATTGAAACAACCATCAAATGTTTCTAAAGATGCTCTTGTGAAACTTGAGAGAAAAGTGCATCACTCTGGAAACATACATAGAAGATTTAAAAAAAAAAGTATAATCTTAACCTCTGCGCTAGAACATAAAAAGGAAGAGTAAGATAAGGTTAATATTTAGTGCAACAAATGTCTAAAAAGAAAAATGAAAGCTAGCTAAAATGGTAAAAGTTAGCGTTAGCAAATTATTACCAAGCAATTTTAAAAGTGATGAGCAAATATTATTTCAGGAAACAATTAAAGTTTCGTCATATTCTTTATGTAGTGGTAGTGTTTCATCTCCGAGTTATAAGGCCTTATGAATATTACAGAATATATTATTATATATCATAGATTTGTTTGTTTATTTATTGAATTTCGAGCAAAGCTACTCGAGGTCTATCTGTGTTAGCTGTCTCTAATTTAAAAGTGACATATAAGAGAGAATTTAGATGGTCAACACCACCAACCGTCAACTCTTGGGCTACACTTATCAGATAGTTTGATTGACCATCACATCATAACGTCTCCACGGCTGAAAGGATGAAGATGTTCGATGATGGGATTCGAACACGCGATCTGCAGATGGAGAATCGAAGCTCCCTATCGACCAGGTCATGCTAGGCCAAATAGCTGAGGTTGTTATACAGAGGTGTGTTAATCAATAGACGTTTTACAATATAGTAGTAGTGGATGCGTTACATTGGGTTGCAGGATGAATTTGTTAACTTATAGGTCGAGCGACTGCGAGTCGAGCGCCCTAACCACCTGGCCATGCCTGGCCATATAAAGTAATAGAAACGTTGAGATGGGTAGCAATTTGATACATAAAAAAGGTATACATATATAGCTTTATACAATGGAATATTTAGTGCTTAACAAGCTTATAGTAGTGTGTTTAATGCATAGATGTTTTATAGTATGATAGTAGATGTGTAAGGATTTTTTATATCAATTCCATATGATGAAATGTAATATTTTTTTTTACTGAAGAGTTTTTTAATACGTTATTTTAAAAATATCAATTCCTATCTGCTCCTATCTGTCCACGTAATTTTTGTCATATTTTATCAGCTTTGTTAAATATACACCAGTCAAATATTTATAGGAAATATTTAGTTAGGTGAAAGGAATTTAAAGAAAATCCTCTAGGTAGTGCCTAGCGACAAATATACTAAAGCTATATCTTAACTCCTGTTCTCTTGGTTTGAAATCCTTAATATACTATCAAAAACGAATGTGATAAAAAAATCCTTCCATTCGTGATGTTTTATCTCTTGTAAAATAAATGAAACTACTTACTTGCTTCATCTCTTCTAATAAATAGTGATAATTTTGTATAGATGTTTGACGATATAGTAGTGAATAAAGAAGTTATGTTGTGGCTTGTTCTTTGATATTATGGCTTCAAATCTCAGAATGTGGTCGTGAACACATGGCATGTTTAGGAAAAAAAATCAAATATGACAAAACTTATGTACATACGAACGAGATTAGTTGGTCTATTTGATATGAAATAACAGATTCGTAATTCCCACAATAAGTCTTTTTTTTTTGCAATGTTCGTTTTACCTTTGATACCTACTAGCGATCTAACGCCACTTCGAATATTGTTTGTTTGTTTGTTTGTTTGAAGTTAAGCACAAAGCTACACAATGGGCTATCTGTGCTCTGCCCACCACGGGTATCGAAACCCGGTTTCTAGTGTTGTAAGTCCGAAGACATACCACTGTGCCACTGGGGGGCACTTCGAATAACTCTTTGCAAAGCGAAAGATTTGAATACATGTTTGGTCCGGCATGGCGGTGGATAGGGAGGTCGACTCGCAATCTGCGGGTTTAAAGCCCCGTCCCACCAAAAATGGTTGCCCTTTCAGCCGTGGGGGCGTTATGATGTGACGGTCAATCCCACTATTCGTTGGTAAAAGAGTAACCCAAGAGTTGTCGATGGTTGGGGATGACTAGCTGCCTTCCCTCTAGTCTTACATTGCTAAATTAGGGACGGCTAGCGCAGATAGGTTTCGTGTAGATTTTGCGCGAAATTCCAAACAAACAATTGAATATAAATGAATGTAAAATATGTGAATATATCCGTATGTAAAAATTCCCACAAATGCTTAAAATGCAAGACTTATGTTAAAAAACAAACAGATTCACAAAGCTGCTCAAAATTGAGTTTTGACCTTTTGGTTGTTTTTACGCTTATAACTGATTTTATTTGTAACTCCAGGAATGGACATCAAAATATGAAAAATATTTGTGGAGAAGTATGGTTTTAATATTCTGAGATTTTTATTTTATTTTTTCAAGCTTTATTGCACAATTAAAAGAAATAAATTGAATTATGACAGTTTTAGGACAAATTATTTATAATCCTCATAAACCTCTAGTATAGGTGGACACCACAGACATTGAACTTGACTAAAATAAAATGGATACCCGAGAGTATTGAAGATACAATTTCTTATTGTTATAACGCCAACTGCTGAAAAGTATACGCCTGTATATCTTCTATCTTAGTTCGCTACGTAAAAAATTTAAAACTTGGTAATATATGGATGAACATATTTACTTCCAAAGTGACATCAATTCATAGAAATTTGTTTTGGGGCCTATCAACATAATTTAATGTCGGTTTTCCTGTTTAAAAAACACATTATTTTCTGGTATCTGGACCAGTTTTCTTTATGGAATATTTTCATTGTCAAATTCATTACCAACTTTGGATAGTGGTCTAGGATCATTATTTCTGTATGCAATGCTAACTCAGTGGTTATAGTTGAGGACATATAACGCTAAAAATAAGGGTTCGATACTCGCAGTAGCTATGGCATAGTTGACCCATTGTGTAACTTTGTGCTTAACAAAAAACTAACAAACAAAATCAAATTATATTCTTTGCTTCGTTTTCTTGAAGATTATACCCCCGACTTGGCATCAGAGTTATATCAAGGATTAACTCTCTTTTTTCATTATTCGATTCCTTGATTGAAAATATTTTAATCATTTTTTTTTCAGTCCTATAGATAATAAAGGGTATTTCACCTTACCGCTGTATGTTCTTATTTTTCATGCATTATGAATAATATTTAAATGGACAAATTCACTTTTTTGTTTTCAAAATCTGATGCATCACACCGTGAATCGTTATTTTTAATCATTCGAATGTTGACTGAAATGCAATAATAGGTTGAGGCAGAATTTTAAGTGAATTCTACTTGAAATGTACGAAGTCAATGTCTGCCAAATTGGGTTTCCTGCTAAACTTTGTAACCATTTGATAACAGGCCAAATACTCTTGTTGTTGCCTTAGTGGCCTGTATTTGTGTTTTAGGTCAGTGAAGCTTGCCAATCTGTTGCAAAGGTATATTTGGTACTTCAACTTGCCTCACTCTTTGCAGAACACGCAACAGTGTATTGGTATTTTTTTTTGTCACACTTTGGTAATACTGTTTGAATGAAATCTCAATTGCTATTTCTATTTCTTAGTGAAATATATATTCAAGATGTATTCATCTCGTATTATTATTATTCACATGCTGTATTGCATAAACTTTTGATAATAATGATGATATTCGGCTGTAACTATATTATAATTTGCAACTCACGTCATTCAACTACTTTACTTAGCCTATAAAATAAATGTTTTAGTTCTGGAGGAAATATTTTACGAATGGATATTGGTTCTTGCAATTCTTGCGATAATCAGTATGTAACACGATTTTTACGCTATGATTCGTTAACTCTTAATGTTTTATCAAACATGAGGAAGATGCACTGAATCTAAAAATCCTTAAATTTAGAAAATACAAATTTATTGACGAAACGCTATGTGCATGACGATTGTCATTTCTTTTTCGCCCCTTTCTTCCAG